GTAACAGACTGTGCGCCACAAACTTCGTATTAATTGATTATGTATATATATTCATATATTTACCATATATTTTATATCATTTATTATATATTATTTATTATTTTATATATTTTATTTTATTTATTTTATATTATTTATTATTTTATATATTTTATTTTATATTTTGGTAAATATATAATGTATACATAATCAATTATTACAAAGTTTGCGGCGCACGGTCTGTTACATTGTAATGGAGAGAATTATCGTTTGTTTATACAATTTAGGTAGCTAAGTGATTTATTGGGCTGCCTATGGTCTGATATAGAAATTTTATAAATGAGAACGTCCACAGAATACAATATAAAATTCAAAACAATATTTGTCTTCAACCTCAACTATGCACCAGTAGGTGCTAAAAAATGGTTTGCAGATGAAATCGATGGCAGGCAACCTCGTTTACATGGCTCCAAAAAGCGACCTCCCCTCCCCTCCCCACAAACAAAATCAACCAAAGACCTGATCATGTAACTAATGCTTCTCATATGCAGATACTGTTAAAAACGTTAAAACCACTATGACGACGATAGACTTGAAGAAAACAATTGCTTCAGAAACACATCGTTATTGAAATGAAGCAAATAAGCTCAACACATCGTAATTTTTTTTCAATTTGTGAAAAAATCGGTAAAAGATACGTGCTTTGAAACTGAATACCTGAAATGAAAAATATATGAATACACGCTGTTACGATGATCATCAAAATAATAATCATATCATTACCAAAATATTGGTCGATTAATGACGACTGCCTCGATGAAGCCTCTCCGTTTGTCATCTCTTTATTTTCGTCCCCAGACCTCACGGCCGGAAGTTTTTGCTGCAGAATACGGACAAACTGCGTCCAACATTCGTTCGCATCCTGTAAAAAAGAAAAAAGAAAACTGTTTTTCTACAGTACGATGAATAGCTTTAGATGAGTAGCAAAGCCCACTCGCAGGTTTTATTCTTGCTATGTAAATTTTTGATCACTATCATTCTGTCGTTAAGACAAACGTTCAAAGCAGAGTCGTTGTAAGTCGTTGTAAGTCGTTGAGAGTCGTTGTAAGTCGTTGAGAGTCGTTGTAAGTCGTTGAGAGTCGTTGAGAATCGTTGTAAGTCGTTAAGAGTCGTTGAGAGTCGTTGTAAGTCGTTGAGAGTCGTTGTAGGTCGTTGAGAGTCGTTGTAAGTCGTTGAGAGTCGTTGAGAATCGTTGTAAGTCGTTAAGAGTCGTTGAGAGTCGTTGTAAGTCGTTGAGAGTCGTTGTAGGTCGTTGAGAGTCGTTGTAAGTCGTTGTAAGTCGTTGAGAGTCGCTGTAAGTCGTTAAGAGTCGTTGTAAGTCGTTGAGAGTCGTTGTAAGTCGTTATAAGTCGTTATAAGTCGTTGTAAGTCGTTAAGTCGTTGAGAGTCGTTGTAAGTCGTGTAAGTCGTTGAGAGTTGAGAGTCGTTGTAAGTCGTTGAGAGTCGTTGTAAGTATGTCATAAAAACTGTCAGCGATGGAAAATCTACTGTTTCTACAGGGGTGGCAGTGGAACACACAAAAATTTACAAACTGAGACAAAATATCAGGCTCGTTTCACCTCTGCTTTAAATACATAAATGTTCTTTAAATAGCTTTGCGCAAATACCTGTTGCATTGAACGCCTTGATCATTTTTCAGCAAAATGTGGAAATGCCAGATGTAACGCCTAGAAATTGTGGGTAAAAAACTGCATTTCAAGGCTATTCTTCAAAAATTCACTTGTGGGAAATGGGTGTACGGAAAGTTTTTATCATGGATAAATGCATGAGAAATCAATTCAAATACATCACCTGAACTAAAAAGAACGGAGGGAAGCTGTCGGAATTCTCATTGATTTTTTGAAATGTATCTCTGAGGCCGGACAAAACAGTTTGCTCTGTAGAATTAAGCTGTGAAGCAAAGTTTGTAGTACCATTGAATCTGTTCACAAAAGAGTTCATTAAATATTAAATGATACATGAAAGCAATTGCTATACAATGTTATTAATGCAGTCTTGATTGCGATTGGCTAACTATGAGCGTACAGATAATTCTCAGGGTTTTGCCCCTTAGAATTTTTATGTGAAAATTGTAAACAAAAATTGAAGAAAGGTTAATGGTGGAATCTTGCTTGAGATTTGCAAGTATTTTACAAACTGTTTTCCTTAAATTATTTTGAATAAAGACGTAAAAAAAAACACAGAAAGTGTAACAATGTCAGTCAGGAAAGTTTTCATAAGGAAAAAGATGAAACTAAAAGATGAAACTAAAAGCAAAAATTATTTTGACTCAAGATACGGAAAATTTTATGACTTTCGTACAAAATAGTTTAAAAGCTTCTGTATTTACAGTTGTATAATAAAACAATTATTGAATTTGGTTTTCGCGCGATATCAATAATTATTCTACTGATAACTTTGACCTTGGTCAAATAATTCTTGATATCATGCTCAACCACATCCAATAAACGTCAATTATTTTCATCAAAGAAATTTTCTGCTAATTCTTTTAAGAAAATTCAAAGAAAAGCATATAAAATTGAAGGTCTAGGGGTACTTTTATAATCTTATCATCATTTTTCATGATTTAAGTCTTCAATGAAACTTAAGCTAATGAAGTGTTTCATCATTAGGCAGTGCACAATTGCACCTTTATGGAAAACTTAGTACGTAAAAACTATGCAAATAGCACATAAAAACTACAAAATTTTTATGTACTTTATGATAATTTTAAAAAATTGGTTTCAGAACTTTTGCAATCATGCAACTGTTCGGCTGACTGCAGACTCACAGATGCCAAATTTTCAATAAATGTTCAATCAAAGTGTTTATCAAGCTACACTACTTTTGCAATCCTCATTCAATTCACAGAAACACACACAAACATTGGACAGTTGCATTCATATAACAAGTGTTTCCAAGATTTGTAAGACCCGTGGGTAGCTTCAACTGTAATTTAAAAAAAAAGGTTTGTTTTTCTTTCCATTTCACATAAAGTGCGCAAAATAAAAAAAGTATTTACAGTGGCGGCTAGCTGGGAGTCCGACATGTCTTCCACGAACATTACTTTCTCTTTGGGAGCCTGTATAGCTCACCTACAGTACCCATCATCATCAACATACATCCCATAAGACAAATGTCAAATTAAAGCAAAATCAATTTGACATAAATTTTAAAAAATTAAATAATAAAATTAATTATGTAAATAAATTTACATACATTTTAAGCTTCATGTTACTCCATCCATCATCCTGCTCAAGAGAGAAAAAATTTTACAACAGATTAAAATAAGTCATACAGAAAAAATAAATCTAATATTATTACTTAAAAACTCAATAACAACATTCAGTTATGACATGTTGTAAGGATCGTTAGGTTCTGGAGAAGGACTGCTTTTTGTTGTTTTTTGACACCACACATTTCCTGTACACAATACAATGACGAAGAGCCAGATAACAAATACGGCTAACCTTTACGTTTACTCCTCATTTGACTCTGAAGATGACTACTCTAGTTGTCAAACGCCAACAACAACAACAAAAACAGTCCTTCTCAGGACTATGCTCAACCTGACGACTACATTTCATAAAACATATAACAATACTCCCGGTTCAAACCATTTACTTTAATACTGTTGATGACATTTATACCTTTGAGAACACTACCTTCAGCATTATCTTCTGTCTCCGGGGTGACGTTCGTTAATGCAAACAGCTGAGCTAAACAACTCTGTAGCCTCATCTGTGTTTACCTCCAAGTTAAACTTCTTTTCCCCATTTCACAGACACTGAAAGAGGAAAAGATGATTGACGAGAATTATTCATGAGTTTAATGACTCTACCATCAGACATCATTCACATAATTTGTCATGAATTTGTTCAAGGATACTTCGAACAGTTTATTATATGATTAAAATGATAAAC